TATATATATTATGGTTGTTATTAATAGTGAATAAATCTAAAGCTTTTGAGACTATTATTTTGTGTTATTTCATTTGTCATTAAGGGGGGTGGTACACAAGAGCCCTTTTTCAGTTTCAGCACATGCCCCTCAAAAGGTCTCCTGATGAGGCTGATGAGGAGGAATGAACAATGACAGCACTTTTATTTTGGGGCAGACTGGTCTCTCTGGGAGACTCTCTCGGAGTAATCAACAGGCTGTATTTCTGAACTCAATGCTTCTGCTCTTCAGCGAGAGCTCTTCAATCATGCATATGTGGTGTAAACAACCGTGCGGGGATGCGATGCATGTTGTTACACTGGACTGACTGTTAAATTGCGAGATCCGCTTTGCACTGTGGTTCGAGACATTCTGTAGCACCTAACTTTAGGTTGGCGTGCTGAGATGGGAGGAGGTCAGGGCGGCTCGCTGTTGTCTTCCATTGCTGTGTGTTCTTTTCACAGTGTCTCACTGGGTCTCCTCTGTGCTCTGCTCACTGTCTGTTCCTTTCTTCACAATGCATTGCATATTCAGAAGCAGCAGCATGTAGGTATATGAAAAACAACACAACTTCCACCAGCTGCATGGCCTCACTTTTATATTGTTTTTTTTTTCTTCCTGTTTTAGTTGTCTTTACTCTTTTGCAATGAGTTTCACAACATTCTGACAGTCATCCTGCTGGAGAAGCACTTGAAAAAAGACAAATGAAACTAATTTCGAATTTACAGTCAGAATTTAAGTTCTTTTAAAGGAATAGTCCACTCAAAAATGTAAACTCTGTCAGTATTTACAGACAGTCATGGCAATCCAAACCCATATGCTGTTATTTTTATTTCTGTGGGAAACAAAAGGAGAATTTTTGAAGAATCGTTTCTATAAAAGAGCAGTTCAAAGTGACCATGTCTGTCAAGCTCCCCCCCAAAAAAACCATAAAAGCCTTCAGAAGTTACATGATATCTTTCCACAGAAAAATAACAGCATATGGTGAGTAAAAAGGACCGAATTTTCGTTTTTCTGTGAAATATTCCTTTAATACACTGAAATTTTAAAACCCTGTTTTGAAATGCTTTATATTTTTGCTCATGCACATTTCTTTCTTTGTTCTCCACGCTTTAATCCTGTTGGTAATTTATCTGTCTCAGTGTTTAAAGTCTTTGACCGTGTCATTGTCCCTATGTTTGCCCATCTGTGGTGTGTGTGTTCAGTATGATGGCATGGTTGTAATGCACGTTGGGATTTATCTTGCCTCTCTCCCTCTTCCTTTCTTTCTTTCTTGCCTACTCCACCCTAACTCGATCTGTCTCTTTAACCTCACATTTATTCTCACTTGAATCACATGATTATGAGTCAATTTCCTGTTGTCCTCTCTCTTAACTGACGTCTGTCCCTCTTCTCTGCAGGGGATGTGCTTTTCCAGATGGCAGAGGTACACCGGCAGATTCAAGTGCAGTTAGAGGAAATGGTATGTACTCTGTTTGACCGCCGTCCATCTTTATTAAAGGATCTATTTTGCATAGATTAGATTAGAACAGTTTTTTTAAATGTTCACAGTTTCAATACAAGTTAAATCCAGTAACCTGTGCTGTAAATCACTGTTTACATGGAGCAGACTCCACCCATAGGAATTACACCAAAAATGAGGATTTACACAAGTTTGCAGTTCAAATAACAAACATGTTATCACTGAATAATTAAAGGTGCCGTATGTTAATATGTTTGCAGATGTTTAGGAAACATGCTAAGTTCACATACTTGATTCTCCGAAAAACAACGCTACAGCCAGTTATTCTGCTTCTGAAATGTGTGTTCCGTGTCGGAATGTATGTTTTTGTTTTGGTCTGTGTGATTCCGCCCACTGCCAGTTTACCCATTAGTGTTTTGACACCCAGGGTTGCCTGTTGGTGGAAAACTCAGTGCATTGTGGTGGAAGCCAGCAAACGAACCCAACCTTAAAAAGCCTCGGCATCCATCTAAAAATCTCTTTGACCGGAGGCATATTAAAAAGCACATAAATCAAAGTTGACGCCTTCCATTGTCAATTGTGCTCGTTCTCATTGGGTGTCCTCAATCTGGCAACCCACGTGAGCATCGAGTTTGAGGAGGAGGGGATGGGGGTGGGAGAAACAATGCTCTCCAGTATTTTGAATTTGGACTGCAGTATCCATTTTAACCGCTAGCTGTCAATATTAAATTCTGCACCTTTAATGTAACTGCTAAAAAAATTACAAAATTGTTTCTGAAATAAAACCTTCTGGTTTTAGCTGGTTTTAGTTGCCACTAATTATTTTCTATGCTCTTCAACATTATAATAAAAGTGCTGTCAATAGTGTATTAAACACGTAACATTCCCGGGTATGTTGTATAATCTGCACAAATCTGTGTTTTAAGGTTCTTAAAAAGTCAATATAACAAACTTCAATCAATTTTTCTGTATTTTTTTGCAGTTGAAATGCTTCCACAATGAGCTGCTATCGGAGCTGGAGAAGAAGGTGGAATTGGACGCAAGATACCTGACTGTGAGTCTACAGCACATCCCACTCCTTCTGATAAGCTAACAGACTGACAAGACACACTCTGAACAGAAGTGCTTCTCCTCTATCGGAACAACCAACACACACACACTCCGCGCACACACTTTTCGTAATCCATTTAGTTTCCAATGAAAAAAAAACATTCTACATTTCCAGTTTGACCTGAAAATACATGATTATGAAAGTAATCCTCCTTCAGAAATCATTCTAATTTGCTGCTCGAGAAACATTTCTTCTTATCATTTGTTGAAAACCGTTGCGTAATATTTTTTTGTTGAAACTGTGGCTTTTCAGAATTCTTTGAATAGAGCGTTCAAATGAACAGCATTTATTTAAAACAGAAATGTTTTGTAACAATGTAAAAGGCTTTACTGTCACTTTTGAACAATTAAATGTGTCCTTCCTGAATAAAAGTATTAATTTATAAAAATAAAAAAAAATCTTACTGATGCCAAACTTTTGTAGAGTAAATAGGGCTATTCAGCAATTTTTGAGTCAAATTTTGTCTGTCATCTTGGCAGTCTAATGAAATATTCAGCCAAGAATATGTAAAAAAATAAATAAATTGGATGACATTGCTGACTCTGCTTTGGTTATATGCTACACATTTTGTAAAATGTAGTAGATTATTTGCAAACAATTTACATTTATGCATTTGGCATATTCTTTTATGCAAAGCAACTTATTAGTACATGTGTTCCCTTTGATTCAAGCACACAACCAGTAGAGCTACAGGGGGGAAAAATAACAGAAATAATGTGTTCACTACACAGCATATATACTGCAGACTTAGTTAGTATGCCATTCCAAAAACACCCATAGATCTTATAGAAATACATCTTGTTTTCTTGTGTAGCAATGACCCTGTTTTCCCATCACTCCTGTTTCCAATATTTTCAACAAATGAAAGTACACAATTTGCGGCAGATTAAAGTATGTTTGGAGCGGTGCTGAGAGATATATCTTTAGACTGTGAGTGGGTTGGAGAGGAGCGACTGGGATTGGGCGTCGCTTGTCACCACATTGTATTCAGATAAAATTAAAGCCTTGCTGTCTTGCCTTATTCAGCACTGGAGAGAGCGGTCTGCGGTCGTTCCCCTTGGAAACCAAACACTTTTTTTTTTCTTTCTCTCAGTCCACACATTCTGTGCAACACGTTGAGTCTCTGCTTCGGAGTCCATTGTGAAATCTCTACTTGAGTCTGGATGACTATTATGATATCCATTTCGTGCTGCTGCTGTAGGAGCACCATTTTATAAGGATTAACAGTAAAATAACAGGTTGATGTAGTACTAGTTAGTCTGGCGAAAATGCTTCAAATGCATATTCTGTTCTGCCCACAACAAATCAAGTTTGTCTAAAATACATTGTGAGAGAAGTTAACCGAAGTTCACATGCTCCATCTCTTGAATTCCAGGAGAAACCATGATCTGTGATTTTATTTTATTCCTGTAGTGAATTGTAAATCATTCATATATGGTGAGAAAAGGGGGATCATGGCTGGCGAAGCAGAATCTTCCTTTCTCCCGCCGAAGATGGAGCGATTGCTCTATCACTCACATGTAACACTGTCTTTGTAGACACATTCCTGCTGCGCAAGAATCTGGTTGAGCTGCCAAACTATTTATAGACGTGTAGTCTAGAGATCATTCTCTCAATGTACCTTGTGTAGGATGTGCGAAGGTTCATACATCTAGAAATTCTCAGCCAAGTGTATCAGCCTTCAGAATCCGTGAGCCATGTTGTGCGGTTGGGAGTGGAGACCTTTGCTTCTTTCTTCTGCAGACATCAGAACGCACTGCCCTGAAACTCCAGACCTTTTGCACTGCTCCAAACCCAAGTGAAGAGCTTGACCAGACCGCTTTTGAAGGCATCATGAAGGGATCCTGACTTGAAGGCTCTTCTTAACAGTTGCTGGCAGAACTATGCTGCCTTCTCAGATGTTCTGGCCAAATTCGAAGGCAGCATCGCTAGTGTCCATCCTTGAGAAGACAATCCCAGAACTGGGAATGTGCACTTTAGTCATTTTACTTGATGATTACTCAACAGATGAATCAGATGTGTGAGACTGGGGTTTGATGCTCAATTTATTTACAGTATGTGCCAGACAGACCTTTTTTTGCTGTTGCATCACATCTAACTTTTTCCAGCATCTCAAACTATGAGCGTTGTGTCATTAAGGTGTCATGGCAAGTTAAATTTATTTTCATTTTTGTGTATTGATTGTGAAAAGGAAAATGGTGAAGAGTTTATTATAAATATATAAATATATTTTATTCAACACTGAAAAATATTGACAAAATTTGAATGACAGATCATTTGCTTAGCAACATGCTAAAGTCAGATTGAGTTGTATTACTGTGGCAATAACAGCACAATTGCACAATATTTTTAATTATGGTAGTTTGATTATAATTCATATTATAATATAATAATATTTACATAATAAAAATTATAATGATGTTGATTGTTGTTATTATTATTTGTATAAATGTACAATGCATTATAATGGGATTATAATTACAATAATTATTATTGTTGGTGCTGTTGTTGTTGACAACAATAATAATAATATTAATAATAATAACAACTATTATTTTATTTATTTTTTTTTTTTATCGGCATAGTCCTACAGACTTCTTCACTCACAAGTGAATCTGACGATTATAATATCACAATTGATTGTGATCTAATAATAAAAACATTTATATTATAATAATAGTAGTAGTAATAATAATAATAATGATAGTTAATTGTCAGATTTAGTTGAGTGAAAAAGTCTGTTGGACTGTGCTGATAAAAATCACATACATATTACGATGATAATAATAATAATAATAATGATAGTTGTTATAGTAACTACATTATGAGATATTTATATATTAATCATATTAGTAGTAGTAGTAGTAATAGTTATTAAATTAACTATATTGTGATATTATAATATTTATATATGAATCATCTTCTTATTAGTAGTAGTAGTATTATTAGTATCATTAGTATTATTATTGAATCATCGCATTTGTATTGTCATATTATGCAAATTCTGTCAGGAGCTTTATCTGTGTACTGTACACTAGTGACCATGAAGAAAGTTCCTCCCTATGTACGCTGTTTAAAGTCAGTCTATTTCAGTCAAGACTGTGGTTTAGAGGAGGGCAGCTGCTTATGTAGCCAGCAGACAGCGAGTGTTTTGGAACACGACTTTTGACTAGAAGGTTTTGACTCCCATGTCTTTCCTAATGCAGTAGCTACAGTCTGATGATTTCTGTATTTACCAACAATGCTCCTGTGTTTTTTCTCCTGAAGGCGGCTCTTAAGAAGTACCAGATTGAGCACAAAAGCAAAGGAGAGAGTCTGGAGAAATGCCAGGGTGAGCTGAAGAAACTGCGGAGGAAGAGCCAGGGCAGCAAGAACCCCTCCAAGTACAGCGAGAAGGAGTTGCAGGTGAGCCCCCACACTGCTGCCGCCACCTCTGCTGGCTGCGGGTCGTGAACAGAGCTAGCGTGTCGCTGTGGGCTCCGTCGAAGGCCTTTGAAAGGGACGGAGGTGGATGGATAGGCTCTGGTTCAGTGAGACCACCTACATCATGTTAATGCCGAGATGATTTTAACAGCGCCTGAATGTAAGAAGTGCTGTGAGCCTCTCATGGCAGAGAGAACACAATGGGTGGGTGAAAGCCGTAGGTGTGTATACAAACTGCGCTGCGGCATATCAGCTAAGAGGCTGCGCTGAACTTTTTTTTCAGCAATACATTTCTAACATTTATAATGTGTTTCAAAACAATTCTCTGAATTGCCTTTACAGACTTAAAAACCCTTTTAACCTTGATAAAATCACTGTAACACTATGGATTAGCTTTAATAAAATGAAAGCAGACACAGATGTTCAATTAATCGTTTGATGTATTAATATTAATACTTGCACAGAGTTTGTTTCAGACCTTACAGTTGCCAAGCAACATAGTCACTTGACACATTAATATATACTGTTCGGTCACGGGTGTGTGTACATTTAACAACTGTGAACACAGTAGTGATGCGCGGATGCCGGTTATATCCGCGGTGCTGCGGATAATCCGCGGGTCGGGTGGGTTGGGTAATAAAAAAATTTATTCTGAGAGGCTGTTTAAGATCAGTCCATTTCACTCAAGACTGTGGCTCAGAGGAGGGCAGTAGACAACAGACAGCGAGTGTTTTGGAACATGACATTTGACTAGTGGGCTTTGACGCCCATGTCTTTCTTAACGCAGTAGCTACAGTCAGATGATTTCTGCATTTACCAACAATGTCCCTGTGTTTTTCCTCCTGAAGGCGGCTCTTAAGAAGTACCAGATGGAGCACAAAAGCAAAGGAGAGAGTCTGGAGAAATGCCAGGGTGAGCTGAAGAAACTGCGGAGGAAGAGCCAGGGCAGCAAGAACCCCTCCAAGTACAGCGAGAAGGAGTTGCAGGTGAGCCCCCACACTGCTGCCGCCACCTCTGCTGGCTGCGGGTCGTGAACAGAGCTAGCGTGTCGCTGTGGGCTCCGTCGAAGGCCTTTGAAAGGGACGGAGGTGGATGGATAGGCTCTGGTTCAGTGAGACCACCTACATCATGTTAATGCCGAGATGATTTTAACAGCGCCTGAATGTAAGAAGTGCTGTGAGCCTCTCATGGCAGAGAGAACACAATGGGTGGGTGAAAGCCGTAGGTGTGTATACAAACTGCGCTGCGGCATATCAGCTAAGAGGCTGCGCTGAACACACACACACACGCAAACAACACCGTTGTTTTTTAGTGACTTCCCTGTTAAAACTGTGTGAGTGGACCCTAACCTATCGTATTAATTGCGATGTGTGAATGCTAGCCTGCTGAGAGGAGTCTTACACTGTGACAGCGGGGCTGTGGAGACCCAGCATAGATCAATAAGCAAAGTGCATGCGCTCTCTGGCCCAGAGCTCTCGGGAAGCTTACGCGCTCTGCCGGTTATGAAAGCTCAGGCCACCTGACACCATTATGAAGAAGTGATATCCCTGATCAGCTCACACTTCCTCAAAACATAGCTCTGCGAGTGTGCTTTTAGTTAGTTTTATTTGGATTTTCCATTTAAATGTAGTTTTAATTTGATCTAAAAAATGACTAGTGGCAGTTTTAGCTTAATTGTTATTTATTTTCAGTATTAGTTTAGTAGCTGTCCACTTTTTCAGCTGCCTTGGTTCCAAATTATTTTTCCCATTTTTTTTTCCCATAGGGATTTTTTATTAAGAAGTTATAAGCCATGAACCAAACCAACCAGCAATGAGATGAATCACAACATAACGAGCTTTGATTTGAAGCAAAAAAAAATTTGAAAATCGGAAGAAAAAGGCAAATTACAATGAAGCATTGCAAATCATATAATCAAATTAAAAACAATGGATTATTATTTATTTTAAAATGTCTATTGTGTATACTGAAACAATGTATTTTATGTTCATTGCAAAATATGGCAAGGTAAGTATTTTATTTATGGCAAAATATGACAAAGTTTTTTTTTTTTCATTTATATTGCAAATTTCATACACTGGTAATTAAAAAAAAAGTTATTTACATAAAGATTAAAAATAATCATAAAGTAATCATAACAGATGCGTAAGAAAAACAATTAATTTAGAACGTAATGAAATGTAATAAAAACATAAGGTTAAAGAAAAGAATACATAAGATGATATAGTGCAACCAGTTGGACGCAGCTCAGTGCTCATTCAGTAAATGCACAGTCAAACAGATGTATTTAGCTCCATATATATGTATAAATATTTAAGTAGTTTGTGAGAAGACGTTACAACATTTGCAGTTCTTACAGTTATTCACAGTGCTTCATGGGAGTGTCGCAGTTCTCTGATTGGTGGAGGTTTCTTTGCAAAATCATGGGTAATGTAGTATTTCACCGGGAATTCTGCTGTTGAAAATTATTATTTAAAAAATACGTTAAAATAATACAGAAAGTGAACATGTCGTTGGTTCACCTGTCAATCAGACGGTCGGTCCTTGGCTTATTGGCTGATTATATCTGACACGATGCATAGTTTAATTAAATCATCGAACACTGATTGAAACGGCAAAAACTAAAATAATTTCTCTTTTTTTTTTTTCTATTTTTCTTGTTTAAGTACATATATCTTCAGTTTACATTGTTTTCCAAGCTCACATTTTGACATAAATACATTTGCAGACAGTTTTCACTTTCATAATAGGTGGTATTCATTAAAAATTGTATACAGAAGTCTTCATAGTAAGGTATGGTTTTATTACTAGCTAAAGATAATAATGATAACCCTGAGTGTGTGGCTGAATTCCACTCTCAGGCCGTGAGCGTGTAGGAGCAGGTATCTGTCAGTGACTGCTGTGGGGTGGGTTGAGACGCAGCACTGCTGGGAGTTTATACAGTAAATGTGTCCGTCTACTGCCAGATGCCATGCAGATAGTGAGCTCAGGTTGAGCGAAGCTTCACTCGCCTCAGAGATCTGCAAATATTTTGAGTGTTGTGATTTTGTAAACTAAAGCCACAAGAGGCCATAACTTACTGTACATGCAGTGATTTTACCAAGGGTTGATGTTAAGGGACATTTTACATGACGCAGATGAGTTGTTCATAAAATTATACTCAAAATATAAACTACCATTCAAAAGTTTGGTGTAAGATTTGATTTAATTTGAAAATTAATAGATTTATTCAGCAAGGCTGCATTAAATCGATTAAAAGTGACAATAAAAACATTAGTAATGTTATAAAAGTCTCTCTAGTCATCATAGAATCCTGAATAATATATATATATA